ATTCACCTCTAATCTTTTTCTTGACTTCAGTGTGCTTGATGTTGTCAGCTTGAAGGATACCCAAGTATTTGTAGTAATTCTTCCTCATCCAGACTCTTAATGTTATTTTCGTGGGGCATCTTGATTCCTTCAGTTTTCACTATTTTTCCTTGTTTGATAGTAAGTGTGGCACATTTGTCCAAGCCAAACTCCATTACAATATCTTGGCTATATATACGGACAGTGTTGAGCAGCGATTCTATTTCAGATGATGTTTTTCCATACAGCTTCAGATCGTCCATATAAAGGAGGGGATAGTCTGGTAGATGTTTTTGATGTTTGATAGCCATGTCCTGAGTTATTCAGTATTGTTGACAGAGGAAACAGTGCAATAACAAATAGTAATGGTGATAATGAATCTCCTTGAAATATTCCTCTCTTGATATTAACCTCTCCCAGCCTCTCACCATTGATCTGCAACTGTGTCTTCCATTGTGCCATCGATCTTTGCACAAATTTTCTGATTTTTCTACTGACTCCTGTTATTTCTAGGCACTTTATTATCCAGTCATATTTTTTGTAGTCAATCCATGCCACATTCAGGTTGGTCTCCCTTTTCTTGCGGTTTCCAGTTTTTGATCTTTTGTTCCTCTGCTATTGGGGCGGTTTCCTTTCTGCTCAGGTGGAAAGAGATTGTTTTCAACTAGATGCTGTTGTACTGCATCAGCTACCACACCAGTTAGTAACTTGAAAGTTGTTGGTAAGCAGGTGATTGGCCTATAGTTGCCCCTTTTGCTGGATTTTTTATTATTAGGTAGGTTTTCCCAATTGTTAGCCACTTTTCAATTTCTCCTCCTTGTAGTATATTGTTGAACTGCTTGGCAATGAGTGGGTGTATAACAGTTAGATGTTTCAACCAAAGTCCATCTTCACCTGGTGCTGACCAATTTTTGATTTTCCTTGCTCTTTTTTCTACCATTTTTGTTGTTATTACTAGTTCCTTCATTTCAACTTCTGTTTATTTGTCCACCTCTTTTAACCAAGCCGCATCTTTGTTGTATTTCTTTGGGTTATCCCATATCTGTTTCCAGAATTGCACTGTTTCTTCCTTGTTAGGTACTATCTGATTCTTGTAGTTTCTCCATTGATGGATTGCTAGAAACGTTTCTGATTGGATTGGAATTGGAGGTTCTGCCTATAGTTTGCAATTCGAGCTTCATATCTACTGATTTTCCTGGCTATAGCTGTTATTTGTTGCTTTATTATTTCCAGTGCTTCCTTGATCTTCCTTGTTTCTAAGTGGTATTTCTTGATTAGGTATTCTTTGGTCTTCTTGTTCTTCAGCTTCTTTTCTTTCATCTGTTCTAGCTTGCTTGCATGTGATCTTAACTTGCTGATCTTATTTTCTAGTCTAACCTTCCATTTTTCTGGTGCACTGTTTGTTTGTTTTTCTTCTTTGTTGATTTTGCATCCCAGGTATTCAGTTATAACTGCAGCTGTGCTGTACATTAGTTGGTTTGTTTCTTGCAGTGAATTGGTGCTTATACTTGATATTGCAGTATTTGCATCTTTTAATGCTTGTGTTAGCTGTTTCTTTGGAACAAGCTTCAATGCAGGCAGCCTTATTTTGTTGTTTTTGTGCTGTTCTAGATGCTCAGTTATTCTTTGTTTCAATTCTTTTATTTCTTTAGTTAGAGGATTTTGTTCTTCCTGAGGTAGAGATATCTGGTTTCCAAATGTGAACAGTTGTATATCTCTGCTGGATTTCTTCACTGTTGTTGTTGTTATTATTATTGTTATTATTATCGCTTTAGGCCTCCGCCGCCATGTGCAAAACAAAAAAAAGGTTCAATCAGTCAATTTCAACTTCTCGTGGGAAAAAAAAGATCTTGCAAAGTTGGAATTGATTGATTGAACTTTTTAGTCCCACCCAGTCTGCCGTTACCACCGCAGCCATGCCCACCCAATTGGCCACACCCACCCAATGGACCACACCCACCGGCACTCAACGATGCATAAGTGGGTTTTGGGTTGCAGTTTGGGCACTTAGTCTCTAAAAGGTTCGCCATCACTGTCCTAGGTTGTGTCCTCCTAGGTTTGTGAAGTGGCTGTTTTGTTTCTCCAACATATAAGATGCATACGCATTGTGCTGCATATACCACATTGCTCAGTTTGTGTTGGAGTGTTTTATCCTTGGGGTGGACAAGCTTCTGCCTTAGTGTATTCTTGGGTTTAAAGTTTGGATGTATGCTGTGTTGATTAAAAATCCTCCCGAGCTTTTTTGGATAGTTCTGCAATGTGTGGAATGGCAACATGGCTTCGTTTATTGTTCTCTTCTTTGTCTGTTATGGAGTCTACTTGTCTTTTGAAAAAGCACCTTTGGGACAACCATGACCTAGATGACCGAGAATCTCCATACACATTTAAGACGGGTTGCCACTTATTTTCCAAATACAATTCAATATATTGGCTTCCCTCTTCAAAGTGCTAACTAATTTAAAGCCTAAGTACCTTAGCGACCTCTCCAGACACTAAAATTGGAAGTAGAAATCTTTTTACAAGCTCTGTTTGTCAGCAAGCAGGAAAATGCTTCGTCCTGAATTGTTTCTAAAGTTGCGGGGCTGTTGCCTTGTTTTCATTGCATTCAGATAAATCAAATCCATATCATTTGGACACCTTTTGGACCAGATCTTATTCTTAAAGAAGGTTTTGAGCTTTGCCTTCTACTTTTTTTTCCCAGTGATTTGTTTGATTAATTGGATTTACATCCCTCTTTCCCCCAGCTGGTCTCAGTAGCTCTGTAGGATTCTGTCTTCCAATTATATATCCATTAAAAAAAAAAAAAACCTTCAGAAGTAGGCTGGGCTGAGAAACTGTGACTGGCATTAGATCATTCTTTTCTATTTTGTGCACTTTGTCTTTGCTTCTATTTGTGTCACTGCAACTTTGATGGTTTTGCCAAGCTGGAAAGCAGGATATAAATTAAATCAATCCATCAATAATAGGGATGCTTTTGGGAGATGCTGACAGAGAATTGCTCACATTAATGCTCTTTTTTTCCTAGAGACTTGAAAGCCCAGGCACCAATAGGCCAATTGTGCTTTTTTTTTGCAATGCAGACACAAGGACCAGAGAGAGGCCATTTAGGCTGGCTTTTGCTGAGAAAATAATTGCAACCATTACTCAGGGTGAAAACCAGCTTCTTACATAAAAAGTTCCTAGTTCATGGTTGTGAATAATAGGGGGTAGCAAAAAACAATTTCTGCCTTCAGACTGGAGAAATCTCTTAGCCTAGGCTGACCTCAAGAATTCTGACTGCATTCAGAAGCATGTGGACTAGAATCTTTGCACTTAAGAGGGGTCTGTGGTTCAGGAAAGATAACCTCTGCCTACATAACTTTGCTAGTTCAAATGGAGATACTTCCAGTTGAAAGAATTAATTATAGCATGTAATGTTCAGCAGGTTGGCCCGTATTTGGATAAGAGAGGGCTGGGAAGTCCATATATATATAGGGTACCCTACAAAATTGGTAAATTATCTAGAGATAGATACTATAGACTTGTATAAATTAAATTCCTTGTGTGTTCAACCATACTTGGCCAATAAAGGATTCTATTAGATAGATAGATAGATAGATAGATAGATAGATAGATAGATAGATAGATAGACAGACAGATAGACGGACAGACAGATAGTAGGCAGGCAGGCAGGCAGGCAGGCAGGCAGGCAAATGGACAGTTTGGTCTAGTGGTTATGACACTAGGCTAGAAAACAAGAGACCATGAGTTTAAGTCCCATTTTAGTCATGCAAGCCGACCGGATGATCTTGGTCTGGTCTCTCCCTCTGAACTCAACCCACCTCACCTCACAGGGTTGTTGTCATGTGGAAAATAGGAGGAGAAAAATGTTTTGGGTATGTTCCGCTGCCTTGAGTTATTCGTGAAAATAACGAAGGCGGGATATACAGTAAATAAATGAAAATAATTAAATGAAATAAGGCACGGGCAAACCCTCTCTCAAATACAGGGAATCTTCGACTTACAACCCTTCATTTAGTGACTGTTCAAAGGTACAACAGCAGTGGAAAAAGTCACTTCTAACCGGTCCTCACACCTACGCCTATCGAAGCATCCCCACAGTTACTCGATCAAAATTCAGGTGCGTGGCAACCAACGTGTATTTACCATGTTGCAGTGTACCACCAGGGTCGTGCGATCGCCATTTGTGACCTCCCCAGCTGGCTTCCAACAAGCAAAGTCAATACTGGCCGGTTGCCAGAGTCACTTAATGACTACGCAATTCACTTCAACTGCAGTGATTTGCTTAACAATGCGACCAAAAAGGTGGTAAAAATGGGCAAACAATGGGAAGACCTGAAAGACCTGTTAAGAACAGATCATCATGGAGAATATTTATGTAGAATAGAATAGAATAGAGTAGAGTAGAGTAGAGTAGAGTAGAGTAGAGTAGAATAGAATAGAAATTGGAAAGAATAGAATAGAATAGAATAGAATAGAATAGAATAGAATAGAATAGAAATTGGAATGAAAGAATAGAATAGAATAGAATAGAATAGAAATTGGAATGAAAGAATAGAATAGAATTAGAATAGAATAGAATAGAAATTGGAATGAAAGAATAGAATAGAATAGAATAGAATAGAATAGAAATTGGAATGAAAGAATAGAATAGAATAGAATAGAATAGAATAAAGTTGGAAGGGACCTTGGAGGTCTTCTAGTCCAGCCCCCTGCTCAAGCAGGAGAATCTATACCATCTCAGACAAATGACTGTCCAGTCTCTTCTTAAAAACCTTCAGTGATGTGGTCACTAGGAGTTGGAAATGACCTGATGACACATAATCCATAAGTCAACTGGATGACACCGAAAACCAAATCAAAGATGTAAGATATGATAATACAGGGAGAAACACATATTCTGGAAGCATCTATAAAATATGGGCAGTCCCTCTGTGCTTTTAAACCCTTTTTTAAAAGGAGATTGCAACAAGGAGTTTGCATCATACCCAGGATATTTCAAGCAAGCAGGATCCAAATCAAGACAATGAAATAAAAATTGAGATATAATTTAAAAAAAAAAAAAAAACTAACCCCCCCCAAATCCTACAAACCTTTGTAGCAGTAAGCATCAAATTTGGATGCTGGATCCGGGAAGCCAGTCCGGTTTGAGAATTGATAGGTGGTCCTTACACCAGGTTCCTCTCCGCCACATTTCTTCCGTGGGATTCGGATTGGATAGCGCACACTCCCGTCAGCCAGCCATCCTGGGTCACACTGGTCCAGTCCTTCCTGCCAGGCAAGATATAACTGCCCCGTGGTTGCCAGTTCAGCCCCTCGACTCAGGCAGTGCTTCTGGGCCATTTGAAAGGTCAGCCGACCTGGGCTGGTTGCGTAAAACACTTTTCCTGAAATCACAGGAAAAACATCATTAGGGTGGACCCAGGCAGGACATTACCCTACCTCTGGTTTTTCACTTGTATACTGGTAATCCTTGACTTACAACCACAACCAAATTTATGTCGTTAAGCAAGATGGTTGTTAAGTGAGTTTTGTCCCATTTTACGACTTTTCTTGCCCCAGTTGTTAAGTGAATCACTGCAGTTATTAAGTTAGTAACATGGTTGTGAAGTGAACCTGGCTTCCCCATTGACTTTATTTGTCAGGTCGCAAAAGAGGATCACACAAACACACACACACACACACAAACACACACACCAGGACACTGCAACCGTCATAAATATGCCGCAAGTTGCAAAGCATCCGAATTTTGATCGTGGAATTCTTCAATGGGTCCAAAGCGTGAAAACTGGTCATAAATCACTTTTTTTCAGTGCCGTTGTAACTTTGAGTGGTCACTAAAGGAACAGTTGTACGTTGAGGACTACCTATACATTTACACATAGTTTTGGAAACATCTAGCTTTTTCCTGCATTAAACATCTAAAAACAGGGGCAGCAAATGACTTTTACTTGGTTTTTGGTTCAGCGTATTGTGTGAAAAATGGATTGATTCAATACAGGTGATCTTCGACTTCATTTAGTCACCGTTCGAAGTTATAAAAGCACTGGAAAAAGTGACTTCTTTTGAATTCTTTTTTTTATTGGCTTATAGCAGTGGTGGCGAACCTATGGCATGCATGCCAGAGGCGGTACTCAGAGCCCTCTCTGTTGGCACGCATGCCACCACCACCACCAGCAGATCCATCTGGCCACCACCACCGCCCAGAGCAGGAGCCTCGCCCAGCACAAAGGAGGCAAAGTGGCCAACTAGCAAGCTCGAGTAAAGGTGGTAGAGCATTTCTTCCAGTCCACCATTGTCGATTGGTGGACTGGAAGAAAAGGCAGGGGGAAGCATTTTACATGCGTGCATGCGCACATGGGGCCACGAGCACGCACGCACTGCAAATGGGTTGGGGATAGTGCCTACTCACTAGCCCTGCCCCATTCTTGCGTGGTGCAGCACCTTGTATTTGCACCCAGCGGTACGGCAGTGGCCGTTTTTGCGCCTTGCAACATGGTGGTCCATTTTTGCACCCCCGATTTTTGCATGCCAGAGGCGGCACTCAGAGGCACCTCCCTGCCCCCCCCCGAAGGCACCACAATGCTGATGCGGCCCTGGCACTTTGCGATAAATAAGTGGGTTTTGGGTTGCGGTTTGGGCACTCGGTCTCTAAAAGGTTCACCATCACTGGCTTATAGTATAAAATACAAAAATACAAATAGTAGGAAACAAAGGGGAGGAGAAGGGAAAGAGAAAAATGTGGGGGGAAAGGAAAAAAAACCTTAACACCTTATTCTACCCTCTATTGCGGGTAGAATAAGGCATTAACATCAAACCTCAACTTTTTATTTCTCCATGGTATAAACTAGCCATTTCTACAACAATAAATCAATCAAATCAGTAAAACCCAAAATTAAAGTTTCATTTTTTTCCCCACCTCAAGCACAAAGTCCAGAAACAGTTTCCAGGTAGTGAAAAAAGTGACTTTTGATCGATTATTTTCACACTTTCACACACAGCATCTCCACGGTCACATAATCAAAATTTGGGCACTTGGCAACTGGCATGCACTTAGGACAGTTGCATTTGTAAACTTCCCAGCCGGCTTCCGACAAGCAGTCACTTGAGGGAGCCAGATTCGCTTAACAACCACATGATTCACTTAACAACCAGGGCAAGAAAGTTCATAAAATAGGGCACAATTCATTTAACAACTGTTTTGCTTAGCAATGGCTCAATTATGGTCGTAAGTCGAGGACTGCCTGTAAGCAAATTCAACTCTCTGCCGGATAGAAAAAAGTACTTTTATTGGAAAGGGTGGGGCTGTTTTCAAAGAGGCTGCCTCGGCTCTGGCTGTTTAGGTTAAATCTGTCTTTATTTTTGGTCTGTTCATCTTCAAAGAGGCAGCTGGGTGTTAAGGAGAGAGAAAAAAAACTTCATTACTTAAGGAACAAAGCGCAGTGAAGATAAGTTGCCTAGCCTTCTTCTCTCCAGACATAGACAAGAGAAAAATAGCTAAGCAGCAGGCCGGTTTATCAAAGCCACCCGTCTTTCCGTTCTTCCCCTCAAGGCTCTCAGGAGACAGAACAACAGTTTTGATGGCCTCTTTCATTTCATTAGGAACATTTTCCCCCAAAATGGCCGTGTCTGTTCCTTTTTGATGGGCGAAACAGAGAGGTCGATGCAAGCATCCTTCAGGATTCACTTCTGGTCAATGTGTGGGATTGTGTTGTCAGTGTCACCTGTTTCCAAATAAAGCTAGAGCAACATTTATCAGCCGGTCACAGACATTTTTTTTGGGATTGTAAATTTGCCTGCTGGCATCTCGGGAGCCCGAACAATGGTGAAAAGATCCAATTTCAGGTTTGAAAATGTGATTGATCGGTGGTAAATAAGAAAAGCTCTTGGCAACCTTTCATGGGTTTCAATGGCAAATCAATACACTAATGTTGCATTTAATTAGGGAGAACAAATGATAATTGCCAGGGAAGTGGATTAAGGACATCCTGCTCCGTGTTTGAAGACCGGGATTATTTTTTTTTACAGCTTTTCAATTCAAATGTGTTCCTGTACACTGTTATCATCATTTTTCATGAACAGCCTTTGTTTGCTGATTTCATTCCCTTGGAGGATGTTTTTCAAGATTTGAGGTTTCGGTGACATGTACAAGAATCAACATTTAAATCAGGGGTTGAATGAAAGAGCAGCTGATGATTCTGCATTCAACTTCATTTATTAAAAAAGATGTTGAGACTCTAGAAAGAGTACAGAGAAGAGCAACAAAGATGATTAGGGGACTGGAGGCTAAAGCATATAAGGAACGGCTGCTAGAATTGGATATGTCTAGTTTAACGAAGAGAAGGACAAGGGGGGACATGATAGCAGTGTTCCAATATCTCAGGGGTTGTCCCAGAGAAGAGGGAGTCAAGCTATTTTCCAAGGCGCCTGAAGGCAGGACAAGAAGCAATGGGTGGAAACTAAGCAAGGAGAGAAGCAACCTAGAACTAAGGAGAAACTTCCTGCCTCCAGAAGTGGTGAATGCTCCAACACTGGATGTTTTTAAGAAGAAACTGGACACCATTTGTCAGAAATGGTATAGGGTTTCCTGCCTGAGCAGGGGGTTGGACTAGATGACCTCCAAGGTCCCTTCCAACTTTATCATTGTTGTTGTTGTTATTGTTGTTATTATTATTATTATTATTTCCAGACCTTATTCATTTTTTAAAAAGTTTTGATTCCAAGGATTTTTGTTGTTGTTGTTTAGTTTTGAAACTCACAGTTTTGGTTCTCAAGCTGTCTTTCTATTTTCCCCATCATCTTCTTCCCATTTCAAAGCTGGCTGAGGAATTCTGAGAGTTGAAGTCCACAAGTCTTAAAGTTGCCAAGGTTGAGAACCCCTGCTCAAGATGAGGCCAGCTTCAGCTCTTTTCCAACAATCAGCAACAAGCATTTCCAAGGAGCTTCTAAGAGAGTGGCATTTCATTTGCTTCTGGCAGGTATCATTCAATCATCAGCCGTCTGCTCAAAATGGGTCCTTGAAGTCCATTTCGCTGCTTCCCAGAATGGCCAATAAGGTGTCTCTGAGAAGCCTCAACACTCTGTCCTAGCAGAGTAGCATTTAGAGTCAGATTGATAAATAGGGAGCAAACGTATGATAAAACTGCTTTCTACTTTTGTAAAAGAGCACAGGGCCATTTCTGTGAAAAACGTTTCAGGTTTATTCTGCTGTGTGTTTTAGCTTAGAACAGACATGTCAAACTCAAGGCCTATGGGCCAGATCCGGCCCGTGATGTGTTTAGACCTGGCCCAAAAGCAGACTAGGAGGAGGAGGAGGTGACTGAGTAGTTACCTCCTCACTCTTTGGGTGTCTTGCAGGGACAGCAGCCCTAGCAGAGGATGGGCAGTGGGAGCCTCTCCAACAGGTGAAGCTACGAGGCAGCAGTGACCGCAGGGGCGGAGGGGGGGGGGTCAGGCATAGCTAAAGCGTCCGAGGGAAGGAAAGGGAGGGAAGGAAAGAGAACAGATGGAAGGTGTTTCTTCAGTTCTCACCCCTCCCTGCCTTGCTGCCTTTCCCTCCTCCTCTTCCTATCATCTGTGCTGCCCTTTCCCACAGGTAGCCGCTGGCATTGCAGACTCTTCCCCAAAGTCGTGAGGAAATGTGAGACGGGAGGTTCCCACGTAGGGGGGGGAACCAATACAGTGGTGGGATTCGAATACCTGAACAATTGGTTCGCTTATTGGATGCAGGCCTAGGCCTCTGAGGCCTAGAACGGACTTCTGGAAGTGACATCCATGCACTTCTGGCAGGCCGTTCTAGGCCTCGGAGGCTTCCTCCTGGCTTCCGAGGCCTAGAACGGACTTCTGGAAGTGGCACCAATGTACTTCCGGAGGGCCATTCTAGGCCTGGGATGCCTCCTCCAGGCCTCTGAGACCTACACTGGATTTCCGGAAGCAGCGTGCATTCAGCCAGTTCTCCGAACTCAGCAAAATTTAGCTACCGGTTCTGCCAAACTGGTGCAAACTGGCTGAATCCCACCACTGGACCAATATGATACCCTTACATGCAACTGGCCCTTTGAGGACAAGTGTAATGCTGATGCGGCTCTCAATGAAATTGAGTTTGACACCCCTGGCTTTGAGCATGCAAATTCAAATAGTACAGTTTGTACTCCATTTACAACTGGTTATGACGGACCTCCCTGGGGATGGTTACAAACCAGTTCCGAAGGTTTGATGGCCACCATCCCCACAATCATATAACCACATGTTGGGTGCTCAGCAAATGGCCCGCACTAATGGCTGTTTGCAGCATCTCAGTCATGTGGCCACATTTTACAACATTTTTACTAAAAACCATCATTAACTTCTGCTTTTCAGCAAAAACCACTGGTTAGCTTAACAGCCACAGCATTTACTTAACGACCGCTGCAAAAAAGGTCATAAAGTTGGATCAGTCACCCAGGTGACCCCATTTATGACCATCACAACTTACAACTATGATGGGCAGGCTCCATTAAGGTCATAATTTGAAGACTACCTGTAGGGCTAAAGAGGTAAATCAAAAGAAGCAACTGGTTTCAAAACCTGTAGGCAGGTGCTACATTTGCATTCCTGCAATCTTCAAAGCATGTCTTTCGGACAGAATCCCTCAGCCCTAATAATTAAATCAACAATATTTAATGAATTTAATGGAAATGAAACTCAGTTAATTCAGTTGGGGATTTTTTTTTCTTCCTAGCTCCACTCACTTTTTAGTCTCTGCCTACCTACCATTTAGCAGACAGCTTGTGGCCTGCTAACCTGGGGTGTTAGCTTTGCATATTTTATGCATTCTCTGCCTAAATTCCATCAATTGGAGTCCAGGGGATACAAAGCTAGAGATGGGAAAAAACATTTCACATTCAAAGTATGTCAAGCTTGAAATGCCCTATTTCACAGTCAAAAGAATTATTGAGAGTTTAAAATACAGATAATCCTCGACTTACAACAGTTCATTTAAGGACCGTTCAAAGTTACAACAGCACTGAAAAAAGTGACTTATGACTGTTTTTACACACTTACTGTACGAATACTGCAGCATCCCCATAATCATTTGATGAAAATTCAGATGCTTGGCAACTGGCATATATTTATGACAGTTGCAGTGTCCCGGGCCACGTGATCACCTTTTTCAACCTTCTGACAAGCAAAGTCAATGGGGAAGCCAAGTTCACTTAACAACTGTATTACTTAACAACTGTATTACTAACTTAACAACTGCATTGATTTGCTTAACAGGAAAGGCTGTAAAATGGGGCAAAACTCACTTAACAATGATCTTGCTTTGCAACAGAAAATTCAATGGTGGTCATAAGTTGAGGACCACCTGTATTGGAACATTTCCAGGAAAGTCAGAATCCCTGTTTTTAATCCTGAACATGGGATTCCAAGTGAGAAATGTTTTCATCTCTATTACACAACCCCACACAGATTCCAAATCCATTGGTGTACCAAGCACAATATTCTCTCCATTTCCCCCCCCCCCCAAATAACCATGCATTTTGCCCCTGGAAAGAGTTCAGTAAATCCAGTATATTCTGCTCGTAACTTGCCTTGGAGTTCTCTGGAGAAGCAGTAGACATCGTATGCTTCTTTGACATCTCTCTTGCCATAGCTGCGGACCCCTGGGAGGCTGTTGCGATCTCCATAGCAACCAGGTCTTGACAGGGTGATGGGATACCTGTATGAAGACCGAGGGGAGGGGGAGTGGAATGGAGGGAAGAAAAAAGATGCAGCTGCTTTAAACTCCATCACTAAGGCTTCTTTCAGCCACGAGGGAAAGCCATACCATAAAGACATCAGGAAAAGTATGGGTGTCCATCCCTAAGATTCTGGAAAGAGTACAGAGAAGATCAACAAAGGTGATCAGGGGACTGGAGAACGGTTGCAGGAATTGGGTATGTCTAGTCTAGTGAAAAGAAGGACGAGGGGTGATGTGATACCAGTGTTCCAATATCTCAGGGGTTGCCACAGAGAAGAGTCAGTCAAGCTATTCTCCACATTATCTGGGCTCAGTTGTAGTCGTAAGTCAAGGACTACCTGTATTGCATGCATGGCATGTGTTTATTTACATTTGATTTCTAATTTCCAATTAAGCTCGCACAGGTCCAGACAGGGACACCCAAAGAGCCAGATGTTTGCTGGGGGCTGTAAAAATACTGCAGGTCTGTTGCAGAGTCTATTAACAGAATCTTGAAAGCTTGAAGCTTCCATTACTCTACTGAAGAACGGAAATCAAAGTGCTGCTGTTCTGTGTATTTTTTCCCACGCTTCCTCCTTTTGCAGGGCTGAATAATAATTTTCCTCCTCCCATCTTTGTCTCAAGACCAGACCTGAATTCTTCTGCAAAAGGACCGCAGTGGCAAACTGCCCAAGTCCTCCTTGCCTTTAACATGCCTTGTCACAAATTGTCAAATGTCTTTCTACTAATCTGCATCTTCAAAATGGCAATCCCCAAGTTGGTCTCTTGCAGTGAGCAACGAGCGATTTCCCCTTGGTTCAGTTCTTTTATTACTCTTTTGTGTCGTTCTGCTCAATTCGCTTCTCTTGCCTAATTCCAATTTAACTAGGAGAATTTATAAAATTAATTCCAGTATTGAGTGTTCTGTATGGTCTTTTTGCCGCTTAGTTACTCCTATTCAGGAGCAACTTCCAGGGATTCCCTATCCCCATTACTGATGATTGCATGCACATTGATAAAATAATACAGGATACTATGGGGAGAGAGGAGAAGCAAAGTCCCTCTGTTTATGCAGACAATTGCAACAAGGTTTTTTTGTGCAGCGAATGTTGCTGCACAATGGGAAAGGAATGCATCGAAAGAACTGATCATCCAACTGATATATCTGAAGGATGTAGACAATAGAAAAACTGCTATTCCAATGCACTGGTCAACATTTAGACGTCTAGTTGGATTGCGGTCATCTATGTTGCTGAACTACAATTCCCAGCATGCCTCCCATTTGGCCCTGCAGATAAGTATTGCTGGGATCTAAAGTTCGCTGACATTTAGAAGACTACAGATTACCTGCTATGGGGACAAAGGGATTGTGGCTGGACTGAAAGTAGTGTCTTGCTTTGGGTCCCTACGTGCATAATTGTAAACATAAAAGCTGAGGTTCATAGCATGTCATACAGGTAGTCCTCGACTTACAACCACAATGGAGCCCAAATTTTTTATTGCTAAGTGAAACATTTGTTAAATGAATTTTCCCCCTTTTACGACCTTTCCTGCTGCAGTTGTTAAGTGAATCACTGCAGTTGTTAAATTAGTAACACTGTTATTAAGGGAATCTGGCTTCCCCATTGACTTTGCTTGTCAGAAGGTCGCAAAAGGCGATCACGTGACCCCAGGACACTGCAACTGTCATAAATATGAGTCAGTTGCCAAGTATCTGAATTTTCATCACATGATCATGGGGACGCTACAACGGTCGTAAGTGTGAAAAACAGTTATAAGTCACTTTTCTCAGTGCCGTTGTAACTTCAAATGGTCACTAAATTTGTAAGTCGAGGACTACCTATAGCATGCTAAGTCAATGACTGGGCCCCCAGAACACGCTGAGTCCCATTTTAGCTTAGTCTAGGATGCTGCACTCTATTTAGCTTAATCTCTGCTTGGTGTGAGATCCTGAGCCACAGCATCAAAAATCCTATAGCTGCTCTAACTAATCAACTCCACTGTTCAACTGAACCTGCAGGAAGGAAGATTTTGTTCATCAAATCTACCCTTTTTAAACTGAAACCTGTTCAGTCTTGCCTTGCTTTCTACAGTGTTCTTCTTCTATAGCAGACTTTTAAGGATTCCAGAAGACCTATTGTGGATAACTATATAGAAAACTTTGCATTCGGATCTGATAGGGAAGAGGGGTTTTGGAAAATGGTGGTGCATGACTGTAGCCCTTTCTCATTAAAATAGTTGCATCTGCATCCAAACAGAATTTGAAGTACTGCACAGCCCTACTTTCTTACCTCCACCCCAATTTTTCTTCTGGAGGCTAAACATGCCCAGTTTCTTCAATCTGAGGTTTGACTATCATACCTATAAGCCATCTTCACTGTATTTCCCTCACTCTCTCTGGTCTGTAACTTTTAACTGGGTGAAATGGTGCATCAGAGGGCAGAACATTTTCAACCAAGGTACCCCAAATAGGCTGAGTTACAAAATGCGTCAAAAATCTGGGATCCGTGACTCCCATGGAGCTAAACATTGGCAAATTTTATAAAACATTTCACGACATAAACATTATCATAAAGCATTTTATAATCTAATACAGAACGTCACAAAAACATCGCCTCCTTCTCTTGAAAGGAGAAAAAAAATCAGAACAAAAGAATATTTCGTCCAAAATCAAGCTAGTTAGAATATACGTTCTTCCGTATACCTAACAGTGTGATCGGAGAGCCATCCGGCGTCACAGTTGTCGTAACCATCCTCAAAGGCCTTCTCAAGATGAGCAGGAGAAGCAATGACTGCCGAGTTCTCGTCACAGGCCTTCTGCGCCTCTGAGAAAGTCAAAGCGTAGCGGTTGCTAGCCGCACGGTAGTGAAAAACCACGCCTAGGTAGGGTTGAAAAACGAGAAGACAAGGAATGTGAGTTAGAGGTGTACAGAAGGTCATTAACAGGTAGGGCCAGTCTGGTAGGAGGGTTAAAGGCATCAGACTAGAATGTCATGGTTCCGAAAGAGGAAACTCTTCAAAGAACTTTGAGGCATTGTTTACCTTAAAGAATCTTTAATCGAGCAGCATAGCTTCGGTAGTACATAGTTGAAGCCAAAATCTGACTTCCCCTCCCTTCAGCACATAATATCAAAGCACAATTCCCTCCTACAACTAACAGTCATAAATCACATTCTCCAATTAGTTTGAAATGCTGGCTTCCCGCTCAGTTTCCTCTCCCGCCATTCTTTATCAGCTCTTGTTACAATATTGTACGTCTAATTCCCATCGCATTCCTCCCCTCCCTCCAGCATCATCTAACTCTAAGAGTAAAACAACAGAAAGAAGAAGGCTGCATCTGCATCATTGTCAAAGCAAGAACATCCAATGTTAGCAGCATTGACATCGAAACTGGGAGACGGTGAGTTCTAGTCTAGATTTGGAAAATAACTCCTGCTGGGTGAATTTGGACCATGACTCTCAGCTCAACTTCCCAAGAAAACTGCAGAGATTTTCCAGGCAGTTGCCAGGAGTAAAACAAACAAACAAACAAACAAACCATGCTAGAACCAAAGAAATGAAACAAAACAGAGCAGCACTTAATCAATCTTGGCTGACAAAACAAATAGAGGGTGTCTAACTGTTCTTGGCTGAACTCTAAAGCTAAGCAGGGTCAGTCCTGGTTAGTTCTTGGATGGGAGAGCTGTCTGGCTGAATGGGAAATAAAACTCTTGGGAAAAGGCTAGGTCAAACCACTTCTGGGCTGCAGTGTTGCTAAGATATTTGCAATGGAGGCAATCACACACCTCAAGGGCATCTCCTCTCCTTTTAATAAAATATTGTGAAATACAACCTTTGACCACTTCTCTCTGAATTCTTTCTGAAGGATCTCTTGCACACTGATTTGAGCGCAGCACAACCTTCTCCCTCCTCCTCCCTTTTTCCTTTCGTGTCATGTCTCTTACTTAAAGAGCTCCATGACGGAGGTTGTCAAATTATTGAACTTCATAAACCACCATGGTCCTTTAATTAGCATATAAGCGAGGCTCAAAGTCTACATGCAATCACAACCAGATTGTTTTCTGTAGTTTTTCATTAATGCACACCCACACACCCCTTTGATATAAAGGCAGGGGAGGAATATGATTAAACCAATAGAAATGAAAAGCTGAGACTGACTTGTTCCTCACGAGGCCCTGTATCAAATTCAGGGGAGAGGGGGGGGGGGGGAAAGAGAGAGTAAATGACTAATCATTTGGGCCTGCCAACTCCATAAATGTGCGCTGAAGGGATCGGCATTAAATCATGATCAGTCTGGCCACATCTTTTAAGAGGCAGAAACATTTTTAAAAGACTTTGAATGAATTGAGCTGTGGCTCCTGAATGCTTCGGCCTTGGGAAAAAAATGTTTAATTGAAAAAGTGCTGCCAGATTCTCTCCTACACGTAATCCTTGACTTACAACCATTCGTTTAGTGACCATTCGAAGATACAACGGCACTGACAAAAGTGGCCTATGATCATTTTTCATACTTACAACTGTTGCAGCATCCCCATGGTCAGGGGTAGGCAACCTTGGCTCTTTTATGACTTGTGGACTTCAACTCCCAGAATTCCTGAGCCAGCCATGCTGAGGGGAAAGGGAGAGTTTCCAAGCTGAGCCATGCTGGCTCAGGAATTCTGGGAGTTGGAAGTCCACGAGTCATAAAAGCAGGGCTTTTTTTCTCATAGAACGCCCAGAACAGAGTTCCAGCACCTTTTTTGGATGGAACCTTGTAGGGTAGGCAAGGCGGATTGTATAACGTGTAAATTCCGGCACCTATTTTTTCTTCAAAAAAAGCACTGCATAAAAGAGACAAGGTTGCCTACCCCTGACCATGGTCAGGTGATTAAAATTTGGAGGCATGGCAGCTGGCATGTACTTACGATAGTTGCAGTGCCCCAGGGTTGTGTGATACCTTTTGTGACCTTCTGATAAGCAAAGGCAATGGGGAAGCCAGATTCACTTAACGACTGAGTTACTAACTTAATAACTGCAGTGATTCACTTAACAACTGTGGCAGGAATTGTGGTAAAATAGAGCAAAACTCACTTAAGAAATGTCTCACTTAGCAACATAAATTTTAGGCTCAATTGTGGCCATAAATGTCTCACTTAGCAACATAAATTTCAGGCTCAATTGTGGCCATAAATTGTGTATATGGCATTAATGCAATGCTTCCCAATTTTCTTCCTTTATTATTCAAAATTGCTTATCAGAAAGTCTTAATCAAACTTCGAGGACCGACTGCAAGGCCTTCCCTTCAGCACCACTGTAACTTTGACCAGAGGCTGAACGAATGGTCGTAACTCAAGGACTACCTGTATTATAAAAACATTATCACTGAATGACCTTTTATGTCATTTCAACAGATTACTGTTGGTAATTTCATCCATTTTCATCTACGTAGGAATCCTTTGGGAGATTTTTGAATGTATTTTAGTACACATGGTAAAATTAAATCAGTTTAAGTCAATTAAAAACACCTGTTGTGTTTGGGTAATGGGCTCCTGTGTCGTTATCCAAGGAAAAAACAATTTTACTCAATTTTAGGTAATTTACACAGGCATGGGAAGCACTGCATAATAGAATCTTGTCGCATCGTCTTTGGTGATTATTTTGCAGTTTTGATTAGTGTTTAGAAGAATGTTTGCTTCCCTTCCATCAGTCACCAAATATTTCTCATATCCTTCTGAGAGACATAAAACAGAGCCCTGCAACTGTCTCTCCCCCCCCCTTAGTATATATATTAAGATAGAGATAGAGATAGATAGATAGATAGATAGATAGATAGATAGATAGATAGATAGATAGATAGATAGATAGCTATTGAATGATATCCATAAAAATACGACTCCTGGGCATGTTTATAATATAATATAAATAAAATACGATCACCAGGACAGTTTAGGTATAAAAATATACTTTACTAAAAACCGCCGAGCTTTCGTTGGGGACTCCGAACATCATCAGGGCTAAAAAGCCAGTAAACAACGATGACTCAAATAGGTTTGGCTGACATTTGCACCCGGCTCTTGGACCGCGTCACTGGCCCTGGCCGGTCAATTTGTGTTCTAGATGTTTCTTTGTTACTCTCTTTGCATTCTATCAACCTTCTATCGTTCTTCCGGATCACTCCTCCTACTGCTCCATTACTAACACCCAAATCTATTAACACCCTTTCATCCTCCTTTCTTCTAATGGCATTAGCTCTCACCTCATTCCCCTTCCTGTTGTCTACTTCGGGGGTGTTTAATTCTCCTCTACCACTGCTGTAAATCTCACTGGGGTTCCAGTTATTTCTTCGTGTTTCTTTTGACTGCGAATCGATGTTTTCCCTCTGTTCTGTGTCCTCTTTTCTTTCCTCCTTATTCCTATAAGTAATGTTTATGCAGACATTATATGTTTGGGCACCCATACACTCATCCCCCACTCTGGCGTTCTCTATGTCCACCGTCTTCCGGAACACAAATTGACCGGCCAGGGCCAGTGACGGGGTCCAAGAGCCGGGTGCAAATGTCAGCCAAACCTATTTGAGTCATCGTTGTTTACTGGCTTTTTAGCCCTGATGATGTTGGGAGTCCCCAACGAAAGCTCCGCGGTTTTCAGTAAAGTATATTTTTATACCTAAACTCTCCTGGTGATCATATTTTATTTATATTATAGATAGATATATGTAGATAGAGATAGATAGATAGATAGATAGATAGATAGATAGATAGATAGATAGATAGATAGATAGATAGATAGATTTTGATATTTAGATATATATAGAGATTGTGATATAAAGATAGAGACAGAGACAGACAGATAGACAGAGAGACTAGACAGACAGACAGACAGGACAGACAGACAAATAGATGTACAGAGCCCTTTTCTTACCTGTGACTTCCAGAGGGACCAAGTCTTGCTCATCATGAATCCCAGTGACAATCTCACAACGATAAAGTCCTGCATCGCTGGCCCGAGCAGACAGAAACAAGAGGGTGGCGTTTTCTCGGTGGTGAGGATATCCGGGCAAGGCGACTCTACCCTCGTAGTTTTTGGAGATCTTCACCACGTTATCCTTGGCTACCAGCACGGAGAGATCTTCCGGCTGTCTGGTGGCAGACTGTACTTTGCTCCACTTGATACGGGGGGGATCAGACCATTCACCGGGGTTTGGGGGGATGGAGCCTTGCAAGAGAAACAGGCACGGCAGGGAGACCGATTCTGCCAGCCCGACCCGCACTGGCTGGTGGCTGACTTTGTTGATATGGATCACTTTCCCAGGGTCCTGTGAACCTACAGCAGAAGATGGCCGTGAATTGGAGGAGAAACATGCCTAAATCTGAAATGATTTCTTCCTGAAAGACCAACCTCTCAACCTGATTAACACACGGACCTGGCTGTTTTCACACATAGGTAGTCCTTGACTTAACGACCGTTTATTTAATGACTGTTCAAAGTTACAATGGCAGTGAAAAAAGGGACTTATGACCAGTCCTCAAACTTACGATCGTTACAGGTAGTCCTTGACTTACAACCATTCATTTAGTGACCATTGAAAGCACTTGATTTATGACCATTTTTCACACTTATGACCATTGTAGCCCATGGTCACGTGATCAAAATTCAGATGCTTGGTAACTGGCTTGTAGTTATGACCATTGCAGTATCCTGGGCTCATGTGATCTCCTTTTGCGACCTTCTGACCAGCAAAGTCAATGGGGAAGCCAGATTCACTTTACAACTGTGCTACGACAACTGTATTACAACAATTGGTTGTAAATCGAGAACTACCTGTACAGCATCCTAGCAGTCATGTGATCAAAATTTGGGTGCTAGGCAGCGGGCATATATTTATGACAGTTGTAGCATCCTGGGATCACGTGATCACCATTTGCAACTTTCCCAGGGGACTTCCAACAAGCAAAGTCAATGGGGGAAGCCAGATTTTCTTAACAATGTCGTGATTCATTTAACAATCAGAAAAAGTTCTAAAATAAGGCATGCCTCCCTTAATGATCGCATCACTTAGTCTTGGATGTTCTGGTCCCAACTGTGATTGTTAAGTCAAGGAATACCCATAACTTGTTATTCCCTCCACAAACCAGCTACTTTTATCAGATTATACAACAGGGTAAGACACGGGTCGGCAACCCGCGGCTCCAGAGCCGCATGTGGCTCTTTGAGCCTTCTCCTGCATCTCCCAGCCTCCTCCGCCATTTGCAGAGAGAGAGAGACAGAGAGAGGCACTTGTGCCTTTCTCTCTCTCTCTCTCTCTCTCTCTCTCTCTCTCTCTCTCACTCACTCACACACACACACACACACACACACACACACACACAGAATGGGGGAAGAGGACTGGCAGACCAAGGGCAGGAGAGAGAGCCAGCCCAATAAGAATGTGTGTCAGCTTGTCGTGAAGCCAGCTTGCCAGGTGAGCAGAAAATCGGAGAGAGGGAGGGGGGGAGAGAGGGAAGGAGACAAAGAGAGGGAGGGAGGGATGGAGGGAGAGAGAGAGAGAGAGAGAGAGAAAAAGAGAGAGAGAGAGAACTCATACACAGCAGCCTCTATTTCTTTTTAATTAAACTCTTTAATCAAGCTCCCCCCACCCACCCGTGTGCACTCAGGTTTTGTGGCTCCCAGTGTTTTCTTTTCTCTGGGAAACGGGTCCAAGGGGCTCTTTGAGTGTTTAAGGTTGCCGACCCCTGGGCTAAGACAATGTGCTGAACCACAGAGGAGATAACACCCCTTTTTATCTTAGCCTAGCCTGTTGTACGAACCCAGTGAAAAATTTTCTGCCTCCAAATTCTGCTCAGGACCAGGCAGAAGTTTGAACAAGATCTTTTTGCACTTTCTGTGGTAGTACGTTTCAATTGGAGTCACTCCTCCGAGTTTAATATATCAGTATTTCTTCTTTCCACCCTAAATTTAGTTAAAGACTTAAAATATGTATAAATCAGATCTCTCAGCCTGCTCCCCTGCCACAGATTATGAGTGCACTTTTTCACAGTGATGAAGAACCTGTTTTCCTCTCTCCAGACGGGGCTAGGCGGAAATCAATCATCGCTGCACAGAGGCAGTTATTTGCTCGTCCTTCTGATTGATTTTTCCTCTGCAGCCAACTGGACCCAATTATAGCAAAAGGAGGCAAATGGGAAGGAAAGAGGAAGGGAAGCTGCTCCTCTCGGGGACCTAACTGATGGGTTCTGCTGTCTCAGCAATCCCATTGAGTGTAATGAGTAACAATAATTCTAGCCAAGGAGCTACTTTCAAAGTACAGGTTCACTGACGCTAGAAATCAAGCTAAATGAACTTGATCAAGAATAATAAGTACTGTAATCACTTATTTTTCTAGAGAAATTCTACCTAGAAAAATAGTGTGGAGCAGTGGTTACAGTAAGCGCTTGCCCCTCCCCCCAGCTAAATTCCCAAAGTTCCCTGAAAGTGATCTCTGGCTAGGGTGATCAGTCTTTCCCCTTTCCCCCCAGGAATCTGCTGAGCAGAATGAAAAAAGACGAGTCTTTGTTTTAGACCTGCACAACACTGGCTGAGGCTCCCTCCACCTTATGGCCCTGGAGAATTTACCTCCAAGAGATTGCGATCCTCCGTTAGGGTTACTAGACATCTGGCAAAAGGAACATAAAATATAAAATAATAGGATTGGAAGGGACCTTGGAGGTATTTTGTTGAATCCCCTGCTCAAACAGAAGATCCTATACCAATGATGACAAACCTTTTAGAGACCCAGTGCCCAAATTGTAACCCAAACCTCACTTGTTTATCACGGGGTGCCGGTTGGCGTGGACATGGTGGTCACGGCAGACTGAGTGGGTGGGGCCAGGGTGGCAGGGGCCAGTTCCTCGCCCTCTCTAGGGCACGGCACACGTGCCCACAGAGAGGGCTCTGAGTGCCGCCTCTGGTTCGCCACCACTGTCCTACACCGTTCTCGGCAAATGGCTGCCCAGTCTCTTCTTGAAAACCTCCAGTGATGGAGCACCCACAACTTCTAGAGGCAAATCATTCCATTGATTAATTGTTCTCCCTGTCAAGAAACATCTCCTTAATTCTTGGTTGGATCTTTCTTTAATGATCTTCCACTCGTTACTTCTTCTCCAGCCCTCAGATCAGTGGCAGGATTCAGCCGGTCCGCACCACTTTGGCAGAACTGGTAAGCTAATTTTTTGTTGGCCAGGCCCAGAATGGACTTCCGGAAGCGGCATCCACACAGAGAACCGGTTGTTCACATATTGGAATCCCACCATTGTCTCAGATACTTTCGAGAATAGGTCAACCAACCCGCCTCTTCTCTGTAACAGCCATTCAAGCACCCCTTTTTGTTCTAATCTCCTCTGTCCAACAGGCATAGCCTTGCAATCAAACATTGTCCATTTTCTGAATGTCTTATTTATTTATTTATTTATTTAGTCATCTGCTTCTTTCTTCCTTTCCCTTGTCCATCAACAGACTCGACAGCTTCGATTTATGTTATTCAGCTGATTTTCTGATTCCAGTAATTGGCTTCAATCCAGCCCTTTCAAATCTATAATCACTGTAATCTGCAGATCACATGACATGTCATACGATTCTTTGGTGAAATTTGAAAAGCATTTTGTTGTCAATATTACCGCTAGCATAGAAGATAAGGATTTGTTGGAAAAAATATGATGCTGATAACCTTTATTGTCATTTTTTCCTGTGGGCACAATGGCACGCATTAAAAATGAAATTTAGTTGCTTCCTCTCAAAGTGTACACATACATAACACACATTTAAAAACATACTATATGCAACGTAACCTACACCCTTACATATAAGTAACGTATAAATATTAATCACTGTCCATCTTGAATACATAACGGAAGGAGGAAGCTTGAGAGTTCACAAGGTTAATGCTGTATGGAACAAAACTGTGACTGAATCTGGATGTTCTGCTTCGGATACCACAGAGCCCCCTCCTCCCAGAAGGTAACAAGGAAAACAGGTCGTGAAGAGGATGTGTCGTGTCCCAGATAATCTTACAGACCCTGCTCAAGCTTCTGTGCTATGTCCTGGATGGGAGGGAGGGAGCTGCCAATCATCTTTTCAGCCATCCTCACCACTCTCTGCACTGCCTTCCTGTATGGCGATTGGAAAACCATTCTTTTTGATGCTGGAAAAAGTAATTTCTTATATATATAGCATGTCTATACATACGTTATGTATGTGTACACTTTTTTTTTAAATACATTTTTATTAAAAAAATTGTTTTAAATTTTACAAAAACAAAACAACCCTTCCCCAAACCTCCCCAACCCTCCCATTCCCTCCCCCGACCTTCCCAGAGCTGAATATAGGCTTAATTAAAATTTCATGTATGTGTACACTTTTGAGAGCAGGCAACAGAACTTCATTTTTAATGTGTGCCAGTGTGCCCACAGTAAAAAAAAATGTCAATAAAAGTTATCTTATCTTTGGATAGTTTGGTCAGGAGAAAGAGAGTTAAATGGCCCTTTCCTAATCATTCTCAGAGTATAACTTTAATAATGCAAGTAGTTTCTTAAATTTGGCAAGATTCTATCTATAGGTGAGGAACAATAAAGAAAACTGTTTGGAAGTAACTGCATGTCTTTTCTGGTTTTGGAGCCTGACAACAGTACATCTTTGCCTAAGCATACTTTTTTTTTTTACAGTTTTTCATTGTTCAAACAGTTAGTATGTCCTCCTTTCTCCATGTCCCTCTTTGCCTGCTCAGATATCTGGTAACCATAACCTTCATCAACAAAAATTAGTGTTCCACAATGGATGTAATCATAAACTAAGCAAGTTGGTTGGGTTTGTCCAACATGCTAAGCCTCCAACACACATGCATACATACAATCCTAACCAGGTTTAGGATTGCATCTGTGAAGGTCTCTGCAAGTGTTATGAGATGGTGGCCTCTAAGCTAAACCTGTTTTGCAGTGGAGCTATGAGAATGAAGCAAGAAGACAATATACATGGAACCTACTTCCAGCTAATTTAGTGGATCAATTATTACTAACTGAATTTGGAATAAACACATGTCCATCATCTGACAAAAATGAAATAAATTAAAAAAAAAATCTTAAAGGACAGACTCGATGGATCACTAGGTCTTTTTCTGCTGTCACTTTTCTATGTTTCTATGTCATCTTGAGCATCTTGAAATGAAGCATTAGCCACAAAACAGAGGGACCCAGTTGCAAATGAAGGTTTTTTTTCAGCACTGTGTAGTGCTTTGGTATCCAGAAGAGATGCTTCAAAATAGGTAAGTGTGTGAACACAGCGCCTGTTGGTTGAGTTTAGAAAAAGACACAGTGCTTTAATGAGTTGCTTCAT